ACAGAAACGGCTACCCTGCATCTCGGTGTCTGACGTTTCAGTAGAGCCCAGCAGCCCATTTTGTGGGTTGGGGCACCTTTTTGCCAAGTACTGTACACAGACACCGTAATCCCCGCCCCGGACAGCTTGGGAAGATTACCCAAAGCCTGGAGGATTTCTGTTCATGTACTGGTGAGGAGGAGAATGTCAAACAAAAGCTGGAGCTCACGTGGATGGATTCTGTGGACAAAATCTGGAGCTTCTGTAGTCTTTTTTTTTTTTTTTCTCCCTGGTCTGTGTGTTTTCTTTCTACCTTCCTTGCACCGTGTACACAGAGTCATTTGTCTTTTATTCTCCCGAGACATGTACAATGCATTACTCTATTGTAAGCTGCTTAATAATATGTGTGACCTGCACATCTGTTAATTAGAATACCCTTTTGTTATATTTGTAGAAGTTTTTTAGTGAAACCATTTCCAGAGGAAAACGATGCAGGCATGTAGAGCCATTTAGCAGCATCCCAGTATTCCTCTCGCTCCAACTTGATGATTTTCTTGCTTCCTTTCTTGTTATACGAATTTAATCATCATGCAAAGCAGTGGACTGGCAGCCCTTAAAAACGGTTGTCCTTACTCACAGCAATGAGCACGACAGGCGCAGGAAATTCCAGCTGGTCTAGAACAAGATCTGTGTCTGCTCGAAACGACAAAGGGAGCAGGTTGCCCCTGCGCTCCACTTGCTCAATTAAACACTGAGTTGTACTCAAGGTCATTTCTTTGCACTCTTTGCTCTCCGCAGTCTGGGACTGAACTACCTGAGAGCCGTCCCTTTCCCCACAACCCTGACTTTCTGTAGCCGGGGGGATAGGACGATGTTACTGCTCGTTTCTCACACATTTCCTTGAAATACGCCTAAATACGTAGCGGATACCCGCAACGCACTGCTTCGCGGGCACGCGTGGTGCTTGCTTTCTCGTACACTCCCCTCCCAGTCAGCCTTTCTCATGATTTGGCAGGAACCAGAGGAGAGTTTTGTCTGCTGAGACAATCAGACATCTTCTGGCGATAGCAACTGTCACTATTTCTTCTGATGTGAACCTTATCTGCTGAGAAGGATATCAGAGAGTCACGTAGAATAGATGTGGTCTGTAAACAGTTCTTTTGCATTCTTGTTATCCATTTCCCATTGAAGAAGTGATCACCATTAATTGTGATGGACAATCACCCTTCAAGCTGAAATAGCAGGA